GACACGGGAGCTGGAGACACGGGAGCTGGAGACACGGGAGCTGGGGACACGGGCCTCACCCTCTCCGCGCGGGGCGGGGCGCAGGGCGGCGGGCGCGCCCTCCCTGGCTGACCCAGTGGCATGGGCATGGCGGGGGCAGCCGCGTCACTTACCCGGGCTATGGCCTTGGGCAGACTGAGCGGGGGCCTCGTGTTCTCCCTGAAAAATCACAACCGCGTTGGCTGCTTACCAACTGCTAGGCTGCACTCAGGATTCTTCCTCTCTCCCCAGAGCGCTCGCACCTCGCAGGGAGCCTGCGCACTGTCTTCATAGTGCCTGCTCTCTAATAACACCGTTATCGTTCCAGACCACAGAGATGGGGGCTGATAAACGTACAGCGCATGCTCTGATCTAAACACCTGGTCCTGCCGCGGGAACCGAGTGTGGTGTGGAGCTAGCCACAGGGCGCACACCGGGGCTTCCCAGACCTGCCTCATCTTAATGGTTTCCTCACTTGCATGTTAAAAATAGGGATCCTGGGCCAGGTGCCAGAGGATCAAGCCTGTAACCCCAGCTACTCAGGAAGCTGAGATCTGAGGATCACTGTTCAACACCAGCCTGGGTAGGAAAGTTCATGAGACTTTTATCTCCAATGAGCCACCAAAAAATGAAAAGAAAAGCCAGAAGTGGAGCTGTGGCTCAAGTGGTGTTAGCAATGCTCAGCTCAGGGATAGTGCCCAAGCCCTGAGTTCAAACCTCAGGGACCAGCACAAAAAAAAAAAAAAAAAAAGGAAGGGATCCCTGGGCCCCGGCACCTTTCCAGGAGCTTCTGGCTGCAGTGGGGCCGGGGATGCTGAGGTGCTAACCTTCACTTCAGGAGACTCCATGATCTGAAAAGCAATGTGTTAGTTACCTGAAGCATAGTGCAGAAAGACTGAGCAGAAAGCTGAAGCAGATTCAATGTCTAAGGCTGCCAGACCCCAGCAGGCACATGGGACATGGGAAAGCCTCTCTCAGTGCCCTCTTTCCCCACCTCTACCTCCCCCACCCCTGCCCCCAGCTAGCAGTGGTCAGTTGCTCCCAATGCCTCCTAGACAGTTCCAGAATATCTCCACCTGTACAAAAAACAAACTCTGGGTGAGACTCAGCCTCTCCTTCCAGCATCCTCTACCCTTCCGCCTCCACTTCTGCTCTTGGTGGCCCCCAGGGATGGTACTGGCCAGTCACCCAAACCACAGGGGAGCACTGGGCTCAGGCCTCCTCTTCTTCTGCCCCACAGGCAGCCGCTTGACAGTGGGGGTCCTGTCAACTGGCCAAAGGCCTGGCTGTGCTGAGCAACCCTTCTGTCTGCCAGGGAACAAGTGCACAACATGCTCCAGTCTGGAATATGAATTTTATCCTACAAATTCTGAAACCAAGACTTCCAGACAGGAAGGTGACACTGACCAACTTCTATTGTAGAAAGTCATCTACTATGGGACCATAGTGGTTGTCACTGTGGTCTGACCATGGGTACAAACGAGGACCATGGCAGCCCCGATTCCCTTCAGATCTCCAGCAGGAGACACTTAAAGCTATCCATCAAGGTCACGGAAAAGGACAGACCACCAAAGACAACCACAACAAAGAGATTGGGTTACTTTCAGGGATGATGGCTAGTACTGAGCTCTGGACTTAGGCTGAGTCCAGAGTATCAAAGTTTGAAACCAGTCCATTAAGAAAAGTCTGCGACACTCTTTTTTTTTTTGGGGGGGGGGTCCAGTCGTGGGGCCTGAACTCTGGGCCTGGGCGCTGTCCCTCCGCTCTTCAGCTCAAGGCTAGCGCTCTACCACCTGAGCCACAGTGCCACTTCTGGCTTTTTTCTTTTTGCTTATGTGGTGCTGAGGAATTGAACCCAGGGCCTCAGGCATGCAAGGCAAGCGCTTTACCACTGAGCCACCTTCCCAGCCCTCTGCAACACTCTTATATCCAATTAACCAACAAAAATCCAGAAGTGAAGCTTTTACTCAAGTGGCAGAGTGCCAGCCTTGAGACAAAAGCTAAGGAACAGCACTCAGGCCTTGATTCCAAGCTCCAGTACCATTACCAACAACAACAACAAAAATTCTTGAGCACCAGTGGCTCACGCCTATAATCCCAGCTACTCGGGAGGCTGAGATCTAATGGAGCTGGAAGTTGGGCGGGAAAGTACTTTGGATTCTTATCTCCAGCTACACTTCAAAACAAAAGCCATGAGATCTCAATCTAGGCAGGTAGTACCTACACCAGAATCCATCTACACAGGAAGTTTAAGTAGGAAGTTCAAGGTTCAGTCTGGTCAGGAAAGAAAAGAGATTCTACTTGAAAAATAAAAGCGAGAAGGGCTGGAGGCGTGACTCAAGTGGTAGAGCTCTTATCTAGTAAACACAAGGCCCTGAGTTCAAACCCCAATAAATAAAAACGTAAAGATGGAAAGATGTGCAAAGAATCAGCTAGCATAAATGTTAATGGGGAGAATGCAGAAAGGTTGAAATGCAGCCATTTGGTTGGCAGGGGAGGGAAAGCAGAGTACTCCTGAAGAGAAGACTGTGAATGAGAGGGGTTCCCCAACAGGCATCTCTTACCTACTCAAGTAACCCATGTGTAATAAACCCAGCACACACCCCTCACGCGGGCCCGTGAATGACCTGCAGCTTCCCTCACCCCACTGAACGTGGCTGGGAAAGCAACAAGGACCCCCCCCCCTCCTTTTAGAAAGAAGGGATCTGAGGACATAGTCAATGATAGAGCCAGCCAAAGTCACACTTGCTGTTCTCAAGGCCATCACCAACCCAGGGCCAGCAAAAGAAAAAAAGAAAAGAAAAAAGAACCATCAAGTTTTGATCACCCACCCCCACCCCCTCGCCCCACCCCTACCCCCCCACCCCCCTCCCCTGCGAGGATGAAATTCACAAATCTCAGACACAGAATTTGTTTGGAAACTTGCTCCCAACTTTTGAGATCAGATTGGAAACTCCCGGATCCTTGGAGGGGGAGACAGGGGGTGAATAACGACTCCAGGACCCAATGTGTGCCGAGGTCCAGGCCGCGGCCTCCGCGGGCCTCAGTTTCCCCGTTCAGCATGGAGAAGTCCCAACAACCTGCAGTTCCACTCCGTCACAGCAGCCGGGGCGCCCCCCCCCTTGGGAGCCTCGCCGCCAAGGCCGGCCTCACCCGCCCCCTTCCTCCTCCCGGGGGGCCTCGTCCCGTCCCAGCCGTCCCCGCCGCCCCAACCCCCCAAACCGGCTCCCGTTACCCTCCACGGCGCCGGGAAGCCCCAGGCAGCGCAGGCGGTTGTTACCGGAAGTCGCCCTCAGACCCTCCTTCGGGGGCGGGGCGGGTGCACACGCGGTGCATCTAATTGGTCAACGTCTAGACGAATAGTCCCACCCCCCCTACATGACGCAATTCCTTTTCCCACCCGCCCGCGCCGTTGTCATGGCGACGCGGGGGTCTGGAGGCGGAGTCGCCAGGGGCGCTGTTTCCCGCGCGTTTCGCGGAACTTGCGGGAAGAGC